TATCAAAAATAGCACTGGTCCTAGAACTGACCCCTGTGGGACCCCGCTCGTAACAGGCGCCCACTGTGATACCTCTTCACGTACCATGACTCGTTGCTGCCTCCCTGTCAGGTATTCCCTTATCCATTGCAGTGCCCTTCCTTTTATGTGTGCCTGATCCTCCAGCTTCTGCACTAATCTCTTGTGGGGAACTGTGTCAAAGGCCTTCCTGCAGTCTAGGAAAACGCAATCTACCCAACCCTCTCTCTCGTGTCTTACTTCTGTTACCTTGTCATAAAACTCCAGGAGGTTTGTGATACAAGATTTGCCTTCCATGAACCCATGCTGGTTTTCATTTATAATCTTGTTCCTTTCCAGGTGTTCGACCACTCTCCTCCTGATAATCTTCTCCATGACTTTGCACACAATACATGTCAGAGACACAGGTCTGTAGTTTAGTGCCTCGTTTCTGTTTCCTTTCTTAAATATGGGGACTACATTAGCTGTCTTCCATTTCTCAGGTAGTTGCCCAGTTTCAAGGGATGTGTTGAAGATTGTGGTTAGAGGCACACACAGCATCTCTGCTCCTTCTCTAAGGACCCATGGGGAGATGTTGTCCGGTCCCATCGCCTTTGAGGTGTGTGTGTGTGTGTGTGCTCATCTATATGTGGTTGCAGGGGTCGAGTCTTAGCTCCTGGCTCCTGCCTGTCAACTTGCCAGTTATCGGATTGACTCTCTTCTAGCCTTGTAAGTACTATCGTACCTGCTCTTAAAACTGCGTATGGACCCTGGGATACATCTGACTCACTCCCATCTAGAATAGCCCTCACATAATCCAGAAACAGGACTGCTGCTAATACCGATCCTTGTGGGACCCCTCTGCTTAGAGTATACCTGGAGTATACGCCCAGTCCTTCTGCGTACCATGTTCGTAGGTTCGAGTCTCCTTCTATTCAAGATTGATGGACTGACCACATCGACTCAAGGCTGAGGGACTGATTACCTCATTCTCGCCACTGTGTGGCGAAACGTTTCCTCAATAAAGATACCCAAGAGTTGTACTTGTTTCTAATTTATCATCAGAGATCAGTGTTTGTGCCACAAACGGACAGACAGCACCACAGACGGACATACAGTGCCACAGGCAGTGCCAGTGCCACAAGGTGAATCTGGAAGGTAATCTAGATAACATATCTGTTTATTTCCAAGCTAGAAGGGCATAACTCTCAGGCACTTGTAGGTACTTGGCTCTGGTTCTGGCATTGAGTGTGTACTCACCTGTTCGTGGTTGCAGGGGTCGAGTCAGAGCTCATGGCCCCGCATCTAGACTCGCTCCCACGTGGTTCCTGATCTTAAAACTATGTACCGAGTCTCCCTCCATCACTTTCCGACCACTCTCAGGCTGAAGAAATACTTCCTGGCATCCCTGTGGCTTATATGTGTCTTTAACTTCCAGCTGTGTCCTCTAGTACCTGTTTCTCGCCTCTCAAACAGCCTGTCTACCTTATCAATTCTCATGAGTATTTTGTATGTTGTTATCATGTCTCCCCTGGTTCTTCGTCCTTCAGTGTCAGTAGATTCGGTTTCGTTATCCTCTCCTCGTTGAACACACCTCTAGCTCTGGGACTAGTTTTGTTGTAAACCTCTGCACTTTGTTCATTTTTTTAATGTCGTTTTCCAGATGTGGGTTCCACACTGGTGCTGTGTACTCCAAGATGGACCTGAGGTATGTTTGTTGACTCAGCCAATCAATGCTCTTAGATGAGTATTGATTAGATGCGGAGGATATGTTCGGCGCTATGCTTACCCCTAGGTCCTTCGCTTTGAGAAAAGTCTGTGTGTATGTGTGTGTGTGTGTGTGTGTGTGTGTGTGTGTGTGTGTGTGTGTGTGTGTGTGTGTGTGTGTGTGTGTGCTCACCTAGTTGAGGTTGCGGGGGTCGAGTCCGAGCTCCTGGCCCCGCCTCTTCACTGATCGCTACTAGGTCACTCTCCCTGAGCCTGAGCTTTATCATACCTCTGCTTAAAGCTATGTATGGATCCTGCCTCCACTACATCACTTCCCAAACTATTCCACTTACTGACTACTCTGTGGCTGAAGAAATACTTCCTAACATCCCTGTGATTCATCTGTGTGTGTGTGCGTGTGTGTGTGTGTGTGTGCGTGTTGTTGCTGGGTAGCAAGACGAAAGGCCAGTAGCTACGACTCAACATTCAGAAGCACAACTACAGCAGTAAACTAGAAGAGTGCACAGGCACTTACGAACTTAGGCACTGGCACAGCTGTGGCACTTGAAGCACTTGTTGGCACTGCTTCAGATTTACCCCGTCATATGTACACTTATATGCGCGCACCTGCTGTACATACACACACACACGCGCGCACGCACACACACTTAAGCATGGAGGAACACCGCAGAAGACCTACTGGCCCACACCTGGTCAAACACGACTATTCCCGGAGATAAGGGGTATGTCCTACGAGGAGAACATAAGAACATAAGAACGAAGGAACACTGCAGAA